TTATTTATTTATTTTATTTTTTTTATTTATTATTTTTTTTTTTCTATTTAAAAAAATTAAATTCACAATTTTGAAGCATAATAATACCAATTGTTGGTAGTTGTTGGTTTTTTAGTTTCCCTTAAATTTTTTTCAAGAATTATCGGAAATTCAAGGATAATTTTCCATGCTCCGAAATTTGCTTCATATGCCTCTTAAATTGAAGTTAATTTTTTCCCTGTGTTGCTGTCTTTGCCATCTTTGGTTTGTTGCTGGCGAAAACTTACGCAATATATTCAGGTATTTGTCAATAAATCTTCAATATTTTGCGCACAAAGAGTTCTCGCATGCAATTGATAAGCCCCAAAGCCATTTTTCACTTTGCTGTACAGATTTGTATGCTTCGAAAAGAGGTGGCATTTGGTTTAATACCTTCACAATGCTGCTGCTGCATGCTGCTGCTGCATGCTGCATGGCTGTCATGTGCTGCATGTGGTCGAGATGGTGCAGTGTCCATGGTCCATGTTTCAATTAGCTTTGTGCACAAAATAACTTCCAATTACGCTTTTCATGAAACTGCAGTCTTGGATTACAGTTTTCCCCCAAAGAGGGGCTCAAAATTCGAATATTTAGAGGAATTTCTTGATTGACACAGAGCGCCAGCAGCCAGCGGTGGTTGGTGTGAGAGGAGAGTAGAGAGGACACGCACACATACACTGACACAGATGGACTCCTGTCATTGGCTTCTCACTAGCTACGGCTCCCCCTTTGGGGCAGCTCCCCCCCTTTTTATTAATTTCAATTCCTTTCTTCTGCTGTCACTGTTCTGCTCTGTTTGAGTCCGGATTACCCAGACAGCAGAAAGTGCCTCAGACTCGGACAGCAACTGCCTTGAATGTTATTTAAAACGTGAATTTCCAATCAATTTGCATACACGAAAATTTAGCTGCTGGTTTTTACATTTTACGAGTGTAGAGTACCCAGTACACCGAGGGTGCCTTCAACTTTCAGTATTATTATTATTCCTAAATTGTTGAATATTAATTTGCGTTCATTAAAAGAGACAGGCGCGCGCACATACAACAACAAAACAACAAAATAAAAAAAGAATAAAAATAATAATGCAAACAAATATACGATACGATACATATGTATGTATGTATAAGTGCGTTCAAAATTGAAATTGTTGCTCTCTGGGTCTCGCGGCAATTGAAGCAATTAAATTGTGAAGTACATTTTCACTACCGGCCACAGCTTTTTATATTTTTTGCTCTCACTGTGAACTCAACTCAACTCAGCTCGAGACTCGAATCTGTATCGACAAGCCAGCCCAGCCAGCCAGCCAGCCACTCAACTGAAACGCAATGAACTGTGGGGGGCACTTGAGTCGCCAAACATTTCAATTTCAATTAAAACAAAAACAATAGCAACAGAAAAACAAAACAAAACAAAAGCCTGTGTTGCTGCTGCTGATGCTGCAAAGCTCTGAACTCGAAATTACAATTCAGATATGAACCGATCCGATCCGAACCGAACCGATCCGATAGAGCGGATATTAAGGGGGCGGCTGGGGGCGTAGATATGTATTTGGTTTGGCCTGGAACGAGATTGTGGGTATCGATGGCGCTTGCACATGATCGTTGGCAATCATGTGATTTAACAAGCAAAGATACAGCGCCAGAAAACGCCAGAAAACGGAACAGCACAGAGAGATCAGCGGAAGGCAGTTGCAGTTGCTATGTGGAGATGGGCGATGCAGAGCTGTATGCATGGGAGTTGCAGCATCAGAAATCAGAGAGCTTACAGAGCTACAATAATTTGCGAAAAATTCATAAAATATGCCAGCACAGAGATCGGAGATCCTGCTGCACATCTCCCACAGAGAATCCAAAAACAGATGCAGCTACAAAGTGATGCTCAGGGCACAGATCACAGATCACAGCAAAAACTAACCCCCCACCCCGCTCCTAAAAAATATAGCTGCAAAAAAGCAGCTGTTTTTTGTTGTTGTAGATTTTTTTCGCTTTTGCTGCAAACAGGTTTCCCTACCCAGGCACCCCATTGTCTGTCTGCCACTTGCCACAGAGTCACGTGATTGCCAGCCAGCCAGCAAGCCAGCAAGCGATCGAAGCATCAGCTGCTTGACAAACCTGCAAAACTGCTGCAGTCAGCGAGAGCGAGATAAGGAGAGCGGGAGAGGCAGAGGCAGAGTTGCGAGATACATCTAGACAGAGATAGCTAGAGGGAAGCAAGACGCTGAGTCAAGTCCGTTCGTCACATGTGCATTTGACTATTGACATTGATTGGAACTCGTTGTTGCAATGCTTTTTTCTTGTATTCATTAATTTCCCCTACCATTTATTATGCTGTATCTGGTAACTGGTAGATAGATCTTGCTTATAGACTCGTGCAGCTTGTGGGCTTTGATCACGTGATGCGAAAACGTTTTCAAATGAAGCCCAGTCAGTCACTTAGGGGGGGGTGCTCTCTTAGGGCTAATAATTAGCATTGAATGGATGTGGGATTTAACATTCCTTCTTGAACAGATACTTGAGAGCAAATATCAAGCTCATTTTTGCATGCATCGATATTGATTGTGGTGGTTTTTTCTTTTGGGCATTAACATTAGCATTTCCGATTGCTCCATCTCGTATTGTTGGCACTCTGATACCATTTTAGCAGTTGTTAAAATTTCATTAACATCCACACGCACGCCACACACTTCCTCTCGCGATCGGATCGATCGTTTGGTTTTAGCATTCACCTGCGAATAATGCCCAAGGGGGGAAGTTTGTTTGCTCCCATGTTTAAGATCTTGTTTGCATGACTTTCCGACCATCGATCGGATTGGATCAGATCAGATGGGGAGATAGATCTCTCACACTCACACATCACTCGTCGAGCGGGTGTTCGTATTTCGTTTTTCGCATTTCGTTCCTGTTTTTCTGTTTCTATTTCGTGCTCTATTTAATTCTATTTATTGTTTTTCTCGCGCCTGGCACACGGAATTTGTCAAAGAAATTAGCTCTCATTTGCAAAAAAAAAAAATAATAATAATAAAAATGAAAAAAAAAACCAGCAAACAGAGGCCACAACCCCCACACCCACACAGAGAGAGACAGTAAAGACAGACGATGACAATTGTTAACAACAAAAAAACAGAAACACAGCGTCACAAAATTAACAAGAAAATGTTTAGATTGGGTGAACGAAATGTAGAAAAAAGGTTTGGCTTGGATTTCGGGTTTGAGTTAAAATTATAATTATAATAATAATAAAAAATATAATATATAATATAATTATTATTAGAATGCCATCCATTGAAAACTAAAACAAACCAAAAAAAAGTTCCATAAATTTCAGGCGAAATAATTGTCCTTTCATTTCAATTATCTTCTATCTACATGATCATAATTTATTCTGAATTATGCCACAGCAGCAAATCACCAAATAGGCCTGATTGGAATTTCTTCATTGAAACATTTTTGAATATATGTAATTTGGGATTCCCCTTTTTTGGGCAATCTTTTTGACCTCTCCAAACGAAATGGGAATTTTCCAGCATTCCCTGAACTGAATTTGGGATATGTTCTAATTGGCTTTCGATGTGCGACAACGCCAACGACGACGAAAACGATGACGACGACGACACTAATGCCACTTCAAATACTCGTATATATGTATGTACAAACATATACATATATGTACATATGTATGCACCCCATATGCCCCGATATAGATTGTACGTTTGACTGCAAAAGCATGCCGGATATTTTGTATGACGTATTCAAGTCGAGTCAAGTCCAGGCCATGCCAGGCCAGGCCAGTCGAGAGTTGACTTGAGCATGCGTTTGATGAATGCTAAATGGTCGTTCGTTCGTTCAGTCGAGGAGTCAGTCATTCGGTCATTCAGTCATTCAGTCATTCAGTCATTCTGTTCAGTCATTCACTCGGATCATTCACTCTGTCTGTCATTTTGGGTGCCTGCCTGCCTTACATGGACAGAGCTCCTCTCTCTGTCTCTGTCTCTGTCTGTGTCTGTGCCTCTGAGTGCTCTCCTAATCACAAAATTCATGTATTCTAATTATCAATTAAGACAATGTGCTAAATGTTAAGGCTTAATTGCTACGCTTTTGTCTTTAGTTCATTGTCGTCGCGCCATTTGTTGGCTGGGTAGAGGGTGGTGCAGGGGAAGCTATCAATCGTTTCGATTGTCTAGACCCGAATCACAAATAAAAAGAGTGCTAATCGTGCAGCTGATAATGATAACAAAGAGCAGCAAAAGCAAATCAATGACGACCACTCTCTTGTATATATATATACATATACATATATACATACATATGTACATAGGTAGTACATCTATAAGTTACTTTCTGTTTGTGTTTTTAGTAAATTGGCACAGCGTCAAGAGCAGAGAAGAAGGTGGAATTGGTGGCAGCAAATCTTCAAATAGAAAAACGAAAACAAAGAGTGGGCAGGGACCATGAGAGAGACTGTGGGGATACCCTGGTTATTTTAAATGCTCACTGGGAGAGAGCAGTGCGCTAGCAGAGATGCTATGCCACACTGGAATAGAGAGAATGCGGTTAACTTAAGATATTTGCACATGCCGGAATATTATTTAGGAGTCTAAGTGGGAGAGAGGAGGGAGCGTTATATTTATGCAATCAAAGTAAATATTAAATTACAATTCCCCTGAAAATTAGATCCATCCTAGCGCCACCAGGAATTTCATATGCTCCATTACTGATTGTAAATATTTATGCCTTTCTGGCAAAAACGAGAGGTAGCCAGCAGCCCCCCACCCCCATATCTATAGAGTAAGCAAGCACTGAGAACCATTTACTTGAGTTTCATTATTGCGTTGACACTGAGCACAACAGCAAAATCAAGATGTGTACACAGATAGAGTACAGAATATATATATATATATATATATATATCATTCAATTTGTTGTACAGCAGATGGACATAAGAAAATAAAAAAGAGAGATCGAAAGCAGACAAGACACGAAAGACAAACAGACAGACAGACAGACAGGCAAAAGTCTCGTTCCGTGCAAAGTCCACACAGAAAATCTTTGGTGTGTGTTTTTTTTTTCTCTTTGTTTAATTTGCGTTTTGCAAAAATTGTTATCAAATTATTTCTGAATCATACTTTCAGTGTATTTGATTTTCTTCGATTCTTCGAGGGTGTACCACTATATTTTTGCAGCTGCAATCGAAAGGAGCTTGGGCAATAAATCAAATAAAATATCAGCAAGAGAGTAAACAACATTTTTCCGGTGAAGAAAGTGAGCGAGAGAGAGGGAGTATGGAGTGGGGAGTGGGGAGGCGTGAGGCTCATGGACTTGTTGTACCTTCTTTAATTTCAACATCGAGCGATATCGCTGCTACTGCGTTATCTGGCGATTGGTTATGCAAGTCTTTCTGTGTCTCTGGTTCTGACAGACAGAGTCTGTTCGAATCGCTGGAGCGAAGAATTCAATTAAATGAGATTGTTTATGGAAATGCTTACGACAAAGCAAGCTTACGTGATACAAAATGGAAATTGATTTTTTTGACAGATTTGACAGGTTCGACAGGTTATGGAGGAGCTGTGTCTGCAAATGAAGGGGGGCCCTAGATCACTTCCTCAATAAGGAACTCTCTTCAACAATGTATTTAATCTTTATGTAATTTTAATGACATTTCCAAATAGATCTCTAGTCCAATGGTATTTCGTTTTTGTGCTTAGCCGCTCCAATATTGATGTCCAACAATGGTACACATAATTATGGTTTAATCGGGTCTCCTCTTGTGTGCTGTCTGTGTCGACGACCTCCAAGCGAATTGAATACCAAATTATCTGTGTATCTGTATCTATTGTATATATATTTACATATCTACATATATACATGGTGTGTACCTATTTTGTAATGCTATCTCTGCCATCCGATATTTGCTATAAGATATATATATATTTTTTTTTTCAGTCACGTGCCTGCTAATGGCTTTTGGTGCCTCTTGAGGATGGTGGTCCTCGGGTCTCTCGGAATCTCTCTGTTTGCCATGAATAGTATAACGAAATATGTTGCCAGTTTGCTCTTTATCTTTATCTTTGCCCGAAGCTTTGCAGACAGACAGACGACGGGCGGCGGCTTTCTTTGTCTTATATTTCCACCAAAGATAAGGTGCCTCAACCCACACCAGACATTTTGGCCATATCTCGACATATATACAATATATACATAAATATACTCGAATATATTAAATTTTGATCATATAAATCCCTGGGTGCGTTTCCATCCGCTTTTGGCCTCGCCTTTTCCACCTGAAATTTATATATGCGATAGCTGAAACCATTTTTTGGGTTTACTTCCATAGATAGATACACTCATAGAATTGATAAACTCCAATCTCAGTACATATAGCTACGAACACTATGTTCCATTAATATCATAATATGTTCTCAAGGAATTTGCTAATTATTTAAAAGTGCTCCCTACTCCGTCCATCGATCGTTGCAGCTGGTACTTTCACAAATGATTTGAAGTTGTCCAGGTCCGCTAATCATATATGTTTCTGGAGATCTGGAAAACTGTCAATCATAGCACAAACGATATCCGGTTCGCGTGTGAAACACCCTCGTGGGGATCGATGGTGCTGGTACTTTCATTTGTAAATATTAATTGTGATTATTTTCCTCTGGCCTATAGTTGTCTTTGGATCACAGCTCCAATATGTTTTTTTTCGTATCATATTGGGCTGCGAACCAAGACATTTATTAACCACTAAGCCATCTATGAGATTACCGATCCGTGCGTGAATATTCTTCTTTGATAAGAAAGAAAGGACGAAAGTCGCTGGAATTGTTACTTTTAATCGAGTGTCCGAGCCATTAAGTGGCTTCATTCCTTAAGGCTAGTACACTCGGTAGACGTATACGTTCATTCTCCATCATTTGTGGAATTTTATCTAAAAGAATTACTAACTTCGAATCAACTGGGAATTGAGTTTTCATTGTGGAGACTTATTTTCCTCTGGTCTTTAGTTGTCTTTGGCTCCCAGCTCCAATATGTTTTTTTTTAGTATCATATTGGACTGCGAACCAAGACATTTATTAACCACTAAACAATCTGTGACCGGACGACAATCGTTGGGGTTCGTACTTTGGTCGAGTATCCCCAGTTATTAAGTGGTTTGATATCTTATGACTAGGAAACTCGATGAATGTAGGCGCCCCCAACATCGAATTATTTAAATCAGTCGTGAATTATTTCGTGAGTGGTGAATATTTTGCATGGACTTATCGTTTTAACTGTGTCCATTAATTTATGTTAGATTTTAATATCATAAATTGCTGTGCACAGTGACAATTATTAGCCACACTCTTCGTGGATTAAAAGTTGGAGCTGTTACTTTTACTCGAGTGTCCTGGCTATTAAGTGGTTTGATTCCTTAAAGCAAGTACACTCGGTAGACGTATACGTTCATTCTCCATCATTTGTGGGATCATATTTATTTACCACCCACCCAACCATCCGTAAGATATCCGTTCCGTGCGCTAATATTCCATTTTAATAATTTGAGCGGACGACAGCTTGTACTTTTATCCATTTTCTTGGTATATACGATTTTTTGATATCTTAATACTTGGAAAATGGATAGACGTATAAGCTTATTTTCCATCAGCTCAAACTTCGAATCAATTACATCCACCGATAAATGCGTTAAGCGGTGTATGTATATTCTCTTTTATGTGTAAATATTAATTGTAATAATTTTAAAGTGGCTTATAGTCGTCTTTGGATCACAGCTCCAATATGTTTTTTTCGTATCATATTGGGCTGCGAACCAAGACATTTATTTGTCACTAAACCATCTTTGAGATTACCGATCCGTCCGTCAATATTCTTCTTTGATAAGAAAGAAAGGACGAAAGTCGCTGGAGCTGTTACTTTTATTCGAGTGTCCGAGCCATTAAGTGGTTTCATTCCTTAAGGCTAGTACACTCGGTAGTCGTATACGTTCATTCTCCATCATTTGTGGAATTTTATCTAAAAGAATTACTAACTTCGAATCAACTGGGAATTGAGCTTTCATTGTGCAGACTTATTTTCCTCTGGCCTATAGTTGTCCTGGTTCCCAGCTCCAATGTGTTTTTTTAATATCATATTGGGCTGCGGACCAGGTGATTTATTTACCATTTAACCATCCCTGAGATATCCGTTCCGTGCGTGAATAAAATGACCGGGCGACAATCGCTGGAGCTGGTACTTTCATCGAGTATCACAGTTTTTGAGTGGTTTGATATCTTTCGGCTGAGGTACTCGATGGACGTATTAGCTCATCCTTCATCATTTGTGCAAATGGTTTGTAGTTTTCCGGGGCCACAGCTGTCTAATGTATACTTTTAATATCATTGGGCAGCGTGTCTCTGGGGAATTCTTTACCGCAAGCTCATCAGTGAGATATCCATATCTGGCGAGATCCTTGCTATATTCCATATACTTTTTTAATGGTTTTAAGTTGTTTAATTGTTCGGATCACATATGTTTGTTTTTTATACCATATATGACCGAACAATTAAAGAATTTTGCCATTTATTTTCCACAAAGAAAAATTCGTGAGTTATTCGTTTAATGTAGGAGTATGGGTGGGACTTGTTTTATATACCCAAAAAGGTGAGCTCCTATTAGTCATATATTCTTAATCAAATTTCAGATATATGTCCGGGGCACCTGGCAACGAGATTTCTTATTTCTAAGAGTCATGTTTGTTTTTTATACCCGTACTCAAAAAAGAGTTAAGGGGTATATTAGATCTGTGTTAAAAGTTGATGTGTGTAACGCAGAGAAGGAAACGTTTCCGACCCCATAAAGTATGTATATTCTTGATCAGCATCAATAGCCGAGTCGATAGAGCCATGTCTGTCTGTCCGTCTGTCTGTCTGTCTGTCTGTCTGTCTGTCTGTCTGTCTGTCCGTCCGTCTGTCTTGTTGAGCGCCTTGATCTCAGAGACTATAAGAGCTAGGGCAAACAAATTTGGTTTCCGGGCTCATGTGATATCACACTGCTACAAGTGTATTTCAAAATTTCGCCCCTCCCACTTCCGCCCCCACAAAGGACGAAAATCTGTAGCAGGCACATTTTTAAAGATACGATAAAACTGAAAACGCAGTATCGTAGAGAATGACCATATCTATAAGATTGCCGAATCTGAATCAGATCGAAACATAAGTATAGCCAGAATGAAGAAATTCTTTTTCAGTTGCCTTCCCCGCCTACTCAGCCAGAGACACGCTACTCATTCTCTTTCTCGCTCGCACACTCTGCCGCGTTCAGTACGCAACCCCTAGCGCAGGAGATGTAGAATATGAATGGTACATCTACCATGTATATGTAGATGTAGATAGCAGATGTAGCAAAAAAAATGTAAAATGTAAAACTTTTTTTAAAATTTTAAAATTCTTAAAAATCATAAGCTCAAAAATGTATATACTGACTGAGTACGGGTATAGGTAGAGTCGCGTCCCCAGAAGCGACTCACACGTTCCTTCTCGTTTAGTATCATATTGAGTTGCGGACCAGGTGATTTATTTACCACTTAACCATCCCTGAGATATCCGTTCCGTGCGTGAATACTCTATTTTAATAAAATGACAGGACGACAATCGCTGGAGCTGGTACTTTCACCGAGTATCACAGTTCTTGAGTGGTTTGATATCTTTCGGCTGAGGTACTCGATGGACGTATTAGCTCATCCTTCATCATTTGTGCAAATGGTTTGTAGTTTTCCGGGGCCACAGCTGTCTAATGTATACTTTTAATATCATTGGGCAGCGTGTCTCTGGGGAATTCTTTACCGCAAGCTCATCAGTGAGATATCCATATCTGGCGAGATCCTTGCTATATTCCATATACTTTTTTAATGGTTTTAAGTTGTTTAATTGTTCGGATCACATATGTTTGTTTTTTTATACCATATATGACCGAACAATTAAAGAATTTTGCCATTTATTTTCCACAAAGAAAAATTCGTGAGTTATTCGTTTAATGTAGGAGTATGGGTGGGACTTGTTTTATATACCCAAAAAAATGAGCTCTTATTAGTCATATATTATTAATCAATTTCCAGAGATATGTCTCGGGGCACCTGGCAACGAGATTTCCTATTTCTAAGAGTCATATTTAATTTTTTTTTTTTTTTATACAGCAATCCATCCTCAGAAGAATTGGTAGTATTGTTGCTGTCTTGGATAGTTTAGTGTTTGGTGAGAGGTTAATGTGTTGTGTGTGTGTGCTATTCTGTTTCGTGTTGTATAAGGTTCAAGTGCTAATTTGCCTCGTAAATGATTTAAAAGCGATTAAACGTGCGGCTGGCCGCTGCCCAAAGATAGTGAATTTTGTTGTTGTTGGATGTGTTGTCAACGCAGCGAAAACAAACAAACAAAACGTTCTCCGGGCTGCGATTAGTTCGAGCTGCTGCTAAGTTAACCCAAACCCAACCCCAACCCGAACCCCAACCAAACACAATCCAACCGTTAACCGTGTGCTCACATAATCGACTGATCGATCGGCCGCCTATCAGCCGATATCAGGCAACGATCTAACCCCGATTCTACTCCAAACATGGGGGGGGGGGGGCGGTACAGGTGGGGAAGAAGCAGCATTCACGATTAAGATTAGAGGTTTTGTTTTCAATTTGCACCTTCGCCTTGATGATGAAGTGGATACGAAAATCCATTAAATTCAACAAACCCTTTTTTCATTATGTCAAAATATCAATAGTTATTCCGTTGCACAGATTTCGTTATTTTAAGACTACTATGTATAATGATATTGTGTCTGAAAGATCTATTTATCGACACAAATGACATTCCCTTATCAATCGGTTCATCTGTGGCTCCCTCCATATAACTCAACTGGTCTGTAGTTGTCCTGGCTCCCAGCTACAATATGTCTTTTTTAAAATCATATTGTACTGCGAGTTCAGGTCATTTATTTACCAACCAACCATCCGTGAGATATCCGTCCCGTGCGCGAATAATTCCATATTAATAATTCCACCGGACGACAGCTTGTACTTTTATCCATTCTCTTGGTATATACGTTTTTTTGATATCTTAATACTAGGAAAATGGATAGACGTCTAAGCTTATTTTCCATCAGCTCAAACTTCGAATCAATTACATCCACCGATAAATGCGTTAAGCGGTGTATGTATATTCTCTTTTATGTGTAAATATTAATTGTAATAATTTTAAACTGGCTTATAGTCGTCTTTGGATCACAGCTCCAATATGTTTTTTTTCGTATCATATTGGGCTGCGAACCAAGACATTTATTAACCACTAAGCCATCTATGAGATTGCCCATCCGTGCGCCAATATTCTTCTTTGATAAAAAGACAGGACGGACGACAGTCGCTGGAGCTGTTACTTTTATTCGAGTGTCCCAGCCATTAAGTGGTTTCATTCCTTAAGGCTAGTACACTCGGTAGACGTATACGTGCATTCTCCATCATTTGTGGAATTTTATCTAAAAGAATTACTAACTTCGAATCAACTGGGAATTGAGCTTTCATTGTGGAGACTTATTTTCCTCTGGTCTTTAGTTGTCTTTGGCTCTCAGCTCCAATATGTTTTTTTTTAGTATCATATTGGACTGCGAACCAAGACATTTATTAACCACTAAACAATCTGTGACCGGACGACAATCGTTGGGGTTCGTACTTTGATCGAGTATCCCAAGTTATTAAGAGGTTTGATATCTTATGACTGGGAAACTCGATGAATGTAGGCGCCCCCAACATCGAATTATTTAAATCAGTCGTGAATTATTTCGTGAGTGGTGAATATTTTGCATGGACTTATCGTTTAAACTTTGTCCATTAATTTATGATAGATTTTAATATCATAAATTGCTGTGCACAGTGACAATTATTAGCCACATTCTTCGTAGATTAAAAGATGGAGCTGTTACTTTTACTCGAGTGTCCTGGCTATTAAGTGGTTTGATTCCTTAAAGCAAGTACACTCGGTAGACGTATACGTTCATTCTCCATCATTTGTGGGATCATATTTATTTACCACCCACCCAACCATCCGTAAGAAATCCGTTCCGTGCGCTAATATTCCATTTTAATAATTTGAGCGGACGACAGCTTGTACTTTTATCCATTTTCTTGGTATATACGATTTTTTGATATCTTAATACTTGGAAAATGGATAGACGTCTAAGCTTATTTTCCATCAGCTCAAACTTCGAATCAATTACATCCACCGATAAATGCGTTAAGCGCTGTATATTCTCTTTTATGTGTAAATATTAATTGTAATAATTTTAAACTGGCTTATAGTCGTCTTTGGATCACAGCTCCAATATGTTTTTTTCGTATCATATTGGGCTGCGAACCAAGACATTTATTTGTCACTAAACCATCTTTGAGATTACCGATCCGTCCGTCAATATTCTTCTGTGATAAGAAAGAAAGGACGAAAGTCGCTGGAGCTGTTACTTTTATTCGAGTGTCCCGGCCATTAAGTGGTTTCATTCCTTAAGGATAGTACACTCGGTAGACGTATACGTTCATTCTCCATCATTTGTGGAATTTTATCTAAAAGAATTACTAACTTCGAATCAACTGGGAATTGAGTTTTCATTGTGGAGACTTATTTTCCTCTGGTCTTTAGTTGTCTTTGGCTCTCAGCTCCAATATGTTTTTTTTTAGTATCATATTGGACTGCGAACCAAGACATTTATTAACCACTAAACCATCTGTGACCGGACGACAATCGTTGGGGTTCATACTTTGGTCGAGTATCCCCAGTTATTAAGAGGTTTGATATCTTATGACTGGGAAACTCGATGAATGTAGGCGCCCCCAACATCGAATAATTTAAATCAGTCGTGAATTATTTCGTGAGTGGTGAATATTTTGCATGGACTTATCGTTTAAACTTTGTCCATTAATTTATGTTAGATTTTAATATCATAAATTGCTGTGCACAGTGACAATTATTAGCCACATTCTTCGTAGATTAAAAGATGGAGCTGTTACTTTTACTCGAGTGTCCTAGCTATTAAGTGGTTTGATTCCTTAAAGCATGTACACTCGGTAGACGTATACGTTCATTCTCCATCATTTGTGGGATCATATTTATTTACCACCCACCCAACCATCCGTAAGATATCCGTTCCGTGCGCTAATATTCTTTGAGCGGACGACAGCTTGTACTTTTATCCATTTTCTTGGTATATAAGATTTTTTGGTATCTTAATACTCGGAAAATGGATAGACGTCTAAGCTTATTTTCCATCAGCTCAAACTTCGAACCGATAAATGCGTTAAAGCGGTGAATATTCTCGGTAAACCTTGTGGGGATCGCTGGAGCTGGTACTTTCATTTGTAAATATTAATTGGGAAAAGTTTAAACTGGCCTATAGTTGTCTTTGGATCACAGCTCCAATATGTTTTTTTAGTATCATATTGGGCTGCGAACCAAGACATTTATTAACCACTAAACCATCTTTGAGATTGCCCATCCGTGCGTCAATATTCTTTGTGGATAAAAAAAGAGAGTCGCTGGAGCTGTTACTTTTATTCGAGTGTCCCAGCCATTAAGTGGTTTCATTCCTTAAGGCTAGTACACTCGGTAGACGTATACGTTCATTCTCCATCATTTAGGCCAATAAAGGATTGATTATTTTCCATTAGTGTACTTGGCTGTGTACGGGCTGAATATTATTTCGGATACTAATCTATTTCTCTCTCTTTCTTTCCATAGTGGTTTGGTCTAACCTCCCACAGATGAAGAGCAAAATGATGATGCCTCAATATTAATCGAGGATCTTCAAAAAGATTCAAATATTCTTTATAATCACGTAAGCCTTTAGCTTTATTGATATCGTAATAGTCGATGTGTGATCGAAATTGTTATAAGAATTCGGCATTTGTGGTGCCACTCCCAATCAAATTGTGTTCCCTTTTTCTCGGTTCATATTTAATTTAGCGAGTATTGAACGAAATGTGATTTCTTGTGATACTAAATGCACGTAACCCTCTGCAAAAAGGGTATACAACACTTGAGACGCCTTTTCGATATCACGCGTCTGGTGCGTGTCCGCGCCACAGCACATTGTGCATTGTGGATGCCCAGAGGAGACTCCAAAACGAACACACTCAATGGCCATGATCGGATCGGAGTAGTTTCATTTTTTTTTTTTTTGCTTTGGTTCTCCTGTTTTGTCTCGCCCTCTTTATTGCTCATTCTACCTTAGTCTTTTCAAAAAGCAGCTGTTTCTTGCCTGTTTGCTGTATACAGCAGGGGTGCAGATATACAGATACACGGGAAAACAATAAAGGAAAGGAAAGGAAAGACAAGTTGCACCATAGAACAGGATCAGGGAACAGAGACCAGCAGCCAGGTAGATAGATAAATGGAATTGATGATCGCTCCAGACATGGAATTGAGAAATTGATTTATTTTTGAACTTTTTACATTCCCTCGGTACTATCTTTATGGGGATCTGATTGTAAATAATTAACCCAGTAAAACCACATTAATACAATAGATTATCTTCTGTATTTATGATTTGATTATATATGTATCTGCCGTATTTATTAGCCATAATATTTATTACAGAATAGCCCCATAAATCGCGTCGTGTAAACATGTGGAGATAGAAACATATTCAATTTTGTCATACAATATTTCATTTGAATCTTATCATAGGAAAAACACAAGTCATATACCATCCCAACTCCCTACAGTGGCTACACCGACGGAAAGTGAAAGGGGACAGGGGGAAAGTTTGTAACTAACCTATCCTAAGTGCAAAACCATTAATATTGTACATCAGGGGGAAAAAAAGAGGGAGACAAGAATGCAGTCTGCAGGATGAAAGGGTTTTAAAGCAGCGTAGAGTGATTGGTTTTTCTTTTCCTTTCTCTTATTAGCTAATTAATTGGAATACTTGGAATGTGTGGATACATTGGATGGGAGGTTTATGTGTACATATATGTATATGCATGTAGTATATATATTAAGGTGGAACTTACGTTGACCAAACTAACGCCAAAACAGGCAACCCAACCCCAGCCGCCATCGGGGGCAACTTTTCTTGGTTGTTTCGTTGTCATTTCCTCCTCCTTCTCCTCTAACTTTTTCAGCTCTATTTTTTGTTTTGTTTTGTTTTAATTCTGTTTCTGTTTTGTGTTCTTTGTTGTGTTCTCACTCTCCCTCTGTCTTTGTCCCTCTCGTATCTGCTGGTTCGTTCTTTTGTTCCTTCCTTCTTTCGCTTTTGGTTGCTTTGGTTTTTGGCTTTAAGGTGTTCGTTCTGTCCGTTCCGTTCCGTTCTCCGGGTTCTCCTCTCTCCGTCTATCTACATATATAATGTATGGTATATATAGATTTATGGATATTTTCTTTTTACGTTGCTAATTTCTGTTTCGCTTTTTTTGTTTTGTGTTGGCATCTGCTTTAATTATATTTTTCCATTTGTTGTGATTTTAATTTTTTGTTCGGTCTTTAATTTGTTACACACTCGAAAAAAATTTGAAAATAATTTTTTGCAACTCGTTTTTCTTTTTTGCCATAAAGTTTCGTTAATCCTATATCATGATTTTTCCCCTTTGTTGCTGCAGGCGGTTCTTATATCTTATTTTGTTGCTGTTGTTGTTGAATTTTTGATCGGTTTGCTTTTTATGCCGTTTTTTCAGAGTTTTCTTATCACATTGAAATTTTAATATACTTATTATATTGTATTATATTTTTTCCATGTGGAAAATCGCGGCGATACGGTGGGAGGGGGAAACGTATGTTCTCTCTCTCTCTCTCTCTCTATATTTTTTTTGGCCTGTCGCTAATTCTGTTTTTGTTTTGCTTTGCTTTGCTGGTTTCTTTTCTGGTTTTGTTCCAGCTGTTTCAACCGATTCTTCTTCTCGTTCACGTTAACGGACGACGGTTCGGGGGTTCGGTTCGATTCGATTCGATTCTCCCTTTCGTTGACGATGGTATATTGACGGGGGGGCGGTGGTGCAGGGGGGTACCGACCTACGTTGTTGCTCTGCTCACAGCGCGGGTTCTTTCCGTTTGGTAGCGTGGTCGCTTTATACAGCGCTATTTATTACAAAACTAAAAAAAAGAAGCGGTGGGGCCAAAAGGGGGGTGGCACTCTTTCTCTCTTTCCCACTCTGTCTTTGCCTTCTTCGATTTCGATGAGCTACGCGCTCGCGCTGTTCGATTGAATGGCTGCTCACGCGAAATTGAGCACTGCGCTCATGTACAACCACTAATATTCACTGTATGTTTTTTTTTAACATGAGTGAGTTGCTTCGTTGGTACCCAATTTCCAAAGAAGCAACTCACTCATGTTAAGTTTTTTCCATACCCTAGAAGAGGGTATTTGCAGATTTAACAGAAGTTTGGTACGCTGTCTGTCTGTTTCTATCAGCTATTTTAATGAAATTGTGCAGACTCATATGATAATTATCTAAGCAGATCCTTCCGCGGAATCAGGCAGTTGGGACAGAACAGCACATATCATATATGTACGTGCCATTGGAGATAGCTATGGCGTGGACAGGGCCTGTGTGTTCTATATTGGTTCATGGTCTGTCTAACTTCCAGGGTATACAGGGCTTCGCTACGACGAAATTAGTTTTCTTACGGTTTTTTTTAAACATGAGTGAGACTGTCGTCTGCGCTTGTCATGTTGACTGCGCTGCCTGCCTCCCACCAAAGGCAATGAAGAGAGCGCGAGTGAGTGAGTGGTAGCATGAGCGTGTGCATGAGAGAGTCGTCATGGTAAAGCAAGTTTTCGACTGTGTGTGTTTAGTTTCAAGATCGCATATATATGCAAAGAGAGCGGGAGAGAGAGAGAGGGAGAGCGAGCGCTGCTCCTTCAACTCTCGATTGCTCTTCTCGGATGAGAAGCAGTTAGTTGCCAAATTCTTGCAAGGCGTATTACTACAAGGTGATGCATGCCCGCTCTCGTCGGTTGCCTCTTTTCTATGGAACCATTAACTTATAATTATTATTATCTGTTGAGTCTTGGTGGAGGAGTTGCATTCTGTAACCGCTACCTGAAGCTAACTTCCCCTCACCGTGCACTACATTCTTTTGGTTCCCGTTGCAGTTGCGCAAATGCACTCGACTCTCTCATTCTCTGTTCCACTCACTGTTGCGTAGCCTTGTCTGTTAACTTGTTGCGCTGCTGCTCTGCTTACTCACGGGCAAGTGTATGGGTGCGGAAGCCAAACATTGAGTGAGAAACAGAGAAATAGAGAAAAAGAGAGAGGAACAGTGGTAAATCGCTTGGCGTTGCCAGATATGGATTACTGTCAATAAAGACAATTTTAACAGATCCAATACTGTTAATATCTCAACTGTTAATTGAGTGTAATTTAATTATTATGGAAATATATGAACATAAATGGAAACTTACTTGCATAAGATGGGCAATGATCCTAACGATACTTGGCGGAGCTCTATTCTAAATCTACTCTTGCCTTCCACCCATACACATACTGACCGAACACTCTAGTATGTCTCAATATTTTGTATATGGATTCCCATTTGGAGTCAATCTTTTTCTTTTGACTGCCAAATTATTTGTGGGATATTTTCGAATTCGTGGACCATTGTGGTGTATTGAGGGGGGGGGTGTTTATTCAATAGTTCTTGCTTGCTTTGTGCCCCTGACACACCCAACAACCCAACGGAACGATTGCCGGGGAAAGCCCTGCTAATTGCCACGGACACAATGGAGTGTTGACGAGGTGGTGGCTTACATTGAGTAGCTGAAAATGAAAGTGTTTCCGCAAGCAATGTCTCTCCCTCTCTATCTCTCTCCGTCACTTTCTTTTGCTTCGGCTTCTGCTCTCCCACTCTTGAGACCCTCTGACAATGGAATCGATAAATGACTGATTCTGCGTGGGGGGGGGGTTGGCACAAAATGCTAAGCAACACACGCTGTCGCACATATTTTGCATGCACTCGAGTACAGTGAGCGCACCACTTGGCGGACCCCCCATGGCGCCACAAGTGCTTCAAATTGTGTGGCAGGGAGATTTCCCTGTGCTCCTGTTCCTCCTGTTCCTCTGCTGTTTCAATGCCAATGCAGCTGGTGGGAGGTTGGCTGTTGCTTTGCTTCCTTACTTCCTTTATTTTTCCATTTTTTATTTTTTTTTTCTTCTATTGACGTGCTCTCTCCCAGCGTTCTGCTTTTGTTAGCTTCCTTCTGGTACTTGTTGCGCATTTGGTGATGCCGCACGAAAGCTCCCACCCACGACCAGCCACCCCCACTGCATACATACATATGTGCGCCTGTCAGTGCGTGTGCGTATGAATTACATTTGCATATCTACGTAGGAGCATCTAACATTGCCGATTCGATTCGATTCTCTGGCTTCTGGGATTTTGTGACGCACAAGTACCTGTACCGTACCTGTGCCCCAAATATGAGTCGCATTTTTGGGGGGTACACGAATAAATGCGCGCAGACTGCAGGTCGGAATCTGCAGTCATCAAATGACTGCCACTGGAACAGTTCTCGGTAAGGCCTGCAATATAATCCTGCTTGCAACAGAGATCTCATCTCATACCCAAGACACCGCTCCAATGTGGCAGACCTACAAGTTTCATTACAAACAAAAATTATCTTAAAATATGAATGTGTGATATCCAAATGTGATGCCTAGTACCAGGCCTAATCCCAAAATCATATATTCCCTCTAACTGTAGTTTCCCGAACTGCAGCCAGTCCCGCCCGGCGCATCCAAGGGACTCAAGTGTAGAGTCGTAAAGTGAACAAAAAATAAAATTAAATATTTTGTGAATAATAATACAGATCCACACAGCTATCTTATGATTGTTTTATGACTTTGGAGAGTTATTTGCCATAAAATGTATTCGTGAAAGTGAAGAGGATCGTTGGAGCCAGGTTTGAGGCTTTTGCATTTCCATTAGCTTGGAATCGTAGGCGCTAATTTTTCAATCATAAATTTGGCATTTGTGACTAAATATAACTATATTATATTAGTTATATGTTTCGATTTTTTTATTTATACATATAATTGAGTTGGTAATTTTATCAAATGCCGTATGTCTTTAAGTTGTATCAGTCCTTGAAGCACGGTCATTTGATCAGAATTACATCTTCACTCTGCAGCATAGGGCACCATGTGTACAATGAGTTTTCAGTTACGATTTATCGCTTGATTGATGATCGCTCAGTAGCCCATTTTAAAGATTATATACCAAATTTGTGCTGCTAGGATCATCTGTTAGTCGATAAAATGTTCTACAAAGATACATAATAAATAATAAAATGTATAGATTTAACAGATTTCAATTGGCTTATAGTTCTTCAGATCACCAGGTATCATATAGTTCCATTTAAATATCATATCATACCGGCTATCTGAAGTATTATTTACCCAAAGAATTTACAAATCATTTAACTGTGCGCGAAACTTTACATCGGGAAGTGATATAATTTCTTTTCTTTTTCTTTTTCTCTGGCGCTCATTCTAAATCAATCCATCAGTAATCAATAATAATATCTAGGATATCTTTTGAGTTTTAGCTAATCTATTTCTCTCTTTCTTTCCATAGTTGTCCCAGAGCACCGGCATAAAGAGGATCCTCAAATGGTAATATTCAATCACTATTTAATCCATTAAAAATTCGAATGGAATTAGATGCTATTCTTCAATTGGGGTTAGCTTCAGTTTTTGTTTTTTTACATACATACATATATGTGAAGTAATCGCATCTGAAGGAGAGTTCCTTTATTTCCTGACAACAGTGGGCACGGACTCCCCAGTGAATGTGCGTGGTATTTTCGTGTTCATCCTAAATATGTCCCTGGCATGCCGTCGATCCGTGTGAACTTTTATAAAATTAATTTAGTGAGTGGATCAGGTTCTTACTTTATTGTTGACTCAAAAATGCCATAAAGAAATTGCCTGTTCCACTTACTAATCCGATCAAGTGGCGCACACCTGGAGGACATATCCCGTGAGTGTCTGTCGGGACAGTTTCGCAGAGCATTGCTCTGGCCAAATACGATTGTGAAGTACTTGCCTCAAACGCATTTTTATCGGTGTATTTAAAAACCGACAGAAATGCATTAACGGCATCTACCACAATCCACTAGCAGCCCACAAAACGAATATACATATCCTGTGTGTGTGTCCAAAAAGAGTTTCGGAATTGATGTTTTTTTGTTTTGTTTTGTTGTTTGCTTGCACGATTGAAGTACTAACGGAAATTGCGTTTCTATTGGTGCATTCGAAATCCATGAGCAACGCACTTTCCGGCAGTACCACAATCCACTAGCATCGGATCGCAGAATCCTGCTGCGAGTCCCCCAAACAGCCAAACAATCCAAGCCAATCCAAGGTTAGCCGTATTTATTGGTCAAGATTCCATGCTGGTGTACATATTTAAAATCCAAGTTGGAAGATTGCTCAAAATATACTGCAATCCACACAGCAGCCTTAAATCCAGCGAGTGAATTATTGGGACAGCTTCTGTGTATTGTGTGCGGCTTCATTTCTGATTTGATTTAAGTGGCGAATGCATTTTCCAGTGTTAATTTCATTTGTCATCCCATGCTGTGAGTTATTTATTGATGCGGTTCAATGGGCTTGTTTTAGTTAAAGGATATGATTGCGTTATCTTGCATTCGCATTCCAAGATACGAGCACTCATCCCCTTTGACTACTGCGAGCGCAATAACAACGAAACTAATGATTGGTTCTTTTTTTTTTTTTCTATGGCCCTTCCCTTGGGTAGAATACAACAATTCTAAAATTCTACATAAATTTCGTTTTATTTTTCATATTTTCATGCCAGAAAAATAAACCTACGACTGCGCCGGGAGACAATTATTTCGCTTAATTATTATTTTTCTTATTTTTTTTTTGCTTCCATTTTCCAAGTGCTGTTATTGATCGTAGTTCTTCCTATATTGATTATGATGCCGCTCGTGATGTGCAGCACGTGCGGCCAGCTGCCTGCCGCCTTTGTCACACGCTTCTCGTTGGAGTTTGAACTCTGAAGGCGGCGGCTCGCTCGGCGGCAAAACGATATTGATTGGACTTTATTGCTTGGATCGGAATAGATGAGATCATATGTACACACATACAATAACATTTCCGTGGCAGTCATTCACTTCTAAATCCGTAAGTGCATGCAAAAGGCATTAATATATATATTTTTTTAAATATATTTTGGCTAGGGTCAAGGG